TTGTTCCTACAGTAGAAAAAAATCCTCAAATTCACCATGCTGTTGTACATTAAAAAATGCACTGAAGTAGTGGAGTATGTTTTTCACAATTTAAGAAAGGCTGTTTTCCTGATGTGCTGGATTTATCTCACTGTGAATTACAAGTGTATAAAAGTGAAGTCACCCCATTTCTAGAATAAAGTAACTTAGTTTGGAAGGTAACACATTTCCTGCATACACATACCTGAACCAAAATCATAGTACATTTCCAAGCATTTCCATATTTTCAGTTTCCAAGTTTAAAAATGAAACAATTTACACAGGAGTGGAGTTGAAATTAACAAAACTAAGAAATCCAGTGGAGTTTAGCTCAAAACATACAAACATAGATTTTCCTTTCCAAAGAGGTACTACCAGACCCATTCCTGTATTATGCCAGAAAATATACTGCTACCATCTGCCACTGACTGTGAATGTCCTTCCCAATGAAATGGATTAGTAAGACCCAAGTCCACATTAGGCTTCCCATTTTCTTGAGCCAGCCTGTAAAAGTAGGAGATGGAAGAGGAAATATTAATTTTTGAATGTCAATTTTGTCAAAGCAGATGATTTATCAAAGGTTGAATTCTCAGCAGCATTTAAAGATGAATATGGGCTTTGGTGGTGTGTGACCACTGAGCAGCACCAGTGGCACTCAGGGAAGGGAAGAATGGACTATGGAGTATATCTCTGTCTCAAAGCCACCCCTCTTGCCCTGTGCCTCTACAGTGTTCCCCTAGCCTCTGTCCCTCCCAGCTGCTGTGGGAGCATCATCCACGGAGATGGAGTGAGAAGGGTCCAGTCATGGCTGGAAGGGGCTGGCTTTCAAAGCAAGACCTAATTTTCCTTTGGTTGCTGCTGCAGCTGCAGAAGAAAGTGTGCAAAGACCAAGGGCATTGAGAGGAGGATGCCTAACCCATGCAGGAGACATTTTCACTGACACTCCAAGCTGCAGGTTGGGGCACTGTAGAGTTGTGGCACATCCCCCTGACACAGAGTCTGAGGACTCCTCAACAACCAGTACATCAAGTCTTGCCCTGAGGCTCCCCTTTGCCTCTAGTGCCATAGGTGCAACATGGCTTTATTTTGGCTCCAGTCTTTCTAGTGTTGAGTACAGCTATAAACCTTTTCTTTCTGGGCTTTACAGCTACAACACCCTGCCTAAAATCTAGAGTTCTGAGTGAATTTGAAAGAAAGGTTCTTGGGACCCAGCTCTCCTCTGCCATGCTGGTGTGCTTCTAGTGCAATTAAAAGTGGTTATAGAAGGAAGCCACTCATCCAGGACTACTGTACCAGCAGCACTCCTCAGGGCAATGTGCTCCTGGCAGACATGTTCCCTGGTACAGCCCATGGTCTGGATCTTTTACAAAAGCAGTGTTCGCACTTTTTGTCACACCACACCCGGTGCAGAGGAGGTTTGAAGGCACTGTGGCCAAACTGACTGCGCACTCAGTATTCACAAGCTGCACACCTGTTGTCAGTTTCAAAGTCTCCTGAAATACAATGAAAAGACAAGGCATTAGAGAAGAGGTATTGCTTTATTTATGCGCAGGGTGAAAGGTGGATAATAGCACTATCTACTATTATGGATAATAGCACTATCCATAAACCAAAAGTTCTCAATACTCGCCTATCTAATATATAAGGCACACCTATCCATTACGTATTCACAAGGTTACTGCATTTACAAGGTTACACCAACATATCTGAATTTTCTGTGTTTGCATGTGGGTCTTCAGTGTTCTCTGGTGAGGAGGTGTCCCCCTCCTCACTTTGCCCATGTATGGGCACAGGTTGTCTAAGAGCACCCAGCCTCCACCTACTTTCCACTGATTGATTATTGATTACTGTAGACTAAGTTACTCTTATTATAGAAGCCTTGTAGTTAGGAAGGATATTTATCATAAATAAGCAATACATCTGGAAGCTTAATTAGACAAAACAGTGGATCTTCAAGGACATCACTCTAATTATCTTGTGTAGAATTTCATCTGGAAATGATAAGCAGCATAAATAGTAAATAATTGATTTCGTATCCACTGGAGGTGCTGTCTTGGGTGAGTGATCTCATTGCACATATGCTGAAGAGGATCATGGTAGTGTAATGGTATTTGGACAACATGCATTTTAACTCCTAGTTTTCTTAACGAAAGTTTTTGTTAACCTATGTCTAATTGATCTTTCTGCATCATTTCACTAGGTAGAAAACTAGAGAAAAACAGTGGTTTTACTTTCCTGCCTTTCTCTTTATCTTTCCTTACACTTATCTTTCCTGCCTTATCTACCTGCACTGTTAGATACTCTGCCACAAAGATTCCCTTTCACTGCATTGCTCTCATGTCATCTAACAACAAAGTCCCACACTAACGTTAGTCATTTGTAGCCACTTTCAGCTACCACAATGGAGCAGTATTACTGACAGGAGGCCTGGCTGTGCTGTAGACATGATTTATTTTATTGATGCATTCACCTATTCTTGGCACAAGGCATTCAACCAACCTGTTTGGCTCCTTTCTTTCCATGCCAAAAAGTGATAGCAAGAAGCATTCTCCACGATTCACTCAGCCTTAAGGAACATGGAGATCATGTGTGCCTGTGCCACCTAGTGTCACAGTGATGTGATTTAACAGAGACCCAGACAGCTAGCAGATGGGCCTCACTGAGGACAAAAGGTACTTGCTGACAGACAGTTGAATGTAACTCGGTATTGTGCCCTGGCAGCCCAAAGCACCAACCATACCATGGGGTACATCAGGCCCAGCACTGCCATCGAGTGCAGGAAAGGGTTGTCCTCTCTACTCCGGGCTGTGCAGTCGCACCTCCAGCACTGGGGGCAAGTTTGGGTGCCACAGTATAAGGATATAAAACTATTAGAGACTGTCCAAAGGAAGACCACAAAGATGGGGAAGGGTCTGGAGGGCAAGGTGTACAAGGAGCAGCTGAGGTCCCTGGGTCTGCTCAGCCTGGAGCAGAGGAGTTGAGGGGAGACCTGATGGGGGCTGCAGCTCCTCAGGGAGCGGAGGGGCAGCGCTGAGCTCTGCTCTGTGTGACAGTGACAGGGCTGAGGGAACGGCATGGAGCTGTGTCAGGGGAGGGGCGGGTGGGGGTCAGGGACAGGGTCTGCACCAGAGGGCAGTGGGCATGGAACGGGCTGCCCAGGGCAGCCCCAACCTGCCAGAGTTCAAGGAACATTTGGACAGTGCTCTCAGACATTGGTTTTGAATTTTGTGTAGTGCTGTGGAGTTTGTGGAGCCAGGAGCTGGACTTGGTGATCCTTGTGAGTCTCTTCCAACTTGGGATATTCTATGATTCTATGATATCTTCATTTAACATCATTAATATATTTTATTGTCATTACACTCAGCTGAACACAACAATTGTGATATGGACTTTGAGAATATTGTAACACAGCAATTCAGCAATTGAAAGCATTCAAAAATGTGACCATACACATCTTTCAAGTTGAAACTCTACTCTTGGTGTGATACTTCATTAGCTTCTCAGGAGTCTGTCGTGATGTTGTTACTCAGCGTTCAGCCAGTATTTCCTTAGGCAAAACTAGCTGCAAAGTCATACGATAGGAATATTGTATGAGTAAGGTTTAATTAAGAAGTACAAGATTTAGCCTGTTATCAGTAAATATACACGTGCCTTTTCTGATTTATTTTTAAAAATCTTATTCACAGTCAAAGAAACACATTTATATGTGGAGTTTTGAAAGCGTGTGGTGTGACTGGAGAGACGTCACTTACATGCCTGTGACTTGTGCACTGTTTTAGACCTAGGTCCAAAAGCTAAGTGTAGCATTACAGATTTGAAAACGATAGGTACAGATGGCACAGCCAGAAATACTACCTACTTCCAACAGGGGGTTGGAATAAGATGATTTTTAAGATCCCTTCCAACCCATATCATTCTGATTCCTGAACGTTGCTCTTAGCTCCAACATCTCCTTTGCCATCTCATTTCCCAGAGCCTGATTACATCCAGTAATCTTTGCTACATTGTGCCCTTTCATATTTGCAATAGAATAACAGCTGTTACTGATCATGCCTGAACATCAGCCTTGTGCATCTCGTATCATGTGCGCATATGAAGACATTAAGCAAAACAAACTGCTGAGAAGAGGATTTCAGGAAGAAATTACATCAGCCTTCCTAGATATAGGGCTGACTGTGCTCATTCCAGAGCAGACTGTACTGGGTTTAGTTGGAGGCAAATGGAAAAATGAGGATTGTGAATCTAAGGCAGTTTCCCTAACAGTATTACAATAACATGGGGAAGGATAATGACACTAATTTAACACAACTGCTGCACCGACTTAGCAGAAGTTCATAAGTTTGAAATCCATGTAGCAAGTTTACAAGATTCATTTATAATGTGCAGCGCTTTCTGAGTCATAGCATTGCTCTTACTCTGCAGACACTACCTGTGAGCTGAGTTTTACCACTGAGCCGCAGGTGACTAACGCCTGACTGCTTATGACTGTCAGGAGTTATTAAGAGCTGGTTTTGTGAATAAAAGCATTCAGTTCTCAGATTATGCAAAAGACAGTGCTGCTGAAAGCAAGCAAATGGTATGAAAAAGCAGAGATGTAAGCAAAAAATGTCTTTGTGTCCCAAACGTGAGGCACGAGGAGAAAAACGAGATTTATTCAAAACCCGGTAAACGACCATTTAACATTTCATAGAAACGATCACAGAATCGCAGAGACTAGAAGGACATCTGGAGAGCGTTCGGCCCAGCCCCTGCTACAGCAGGCTCTCCGCAGCAGGTAAAGATCAGATCCCAACCCGGCTCAGCCCTACTCCCTACGTCAGCCCCGGACCTGACACCGCCCACATTCCCTCAGCCGCACTGCTACCCGCCAGCCCACCAACTTCCGCTTCCGGCGCCCCGCCCGCCTGCGCACAGCCCCTCGGACAGGGCGGGGCGGGGCGCGGCGTGCTGACGTCAGGTGACGCGCGCTGGGCGCTTCCCGGAAGCGGAAGCGGGCCGGCCGGCGCTGAGGTGCGGAAGCGGCTGGCGGAGGCCGGCGTTTCGGTTCGGTGGGTCGGCGGTGGTGGGAAGGGCGGCTCCGGTCAGCCGCAGTCGGTCTCGTCTCGCGTTCTTCTCCTTCCCGGCTCCCCGCCATGGCGGGCAACCTGCAGGTACCGTGGGTCCTGTTGAACCCCGGCGGGGCGGGAGGGCGGGTTCGGCGGGGTGGGGCGCCGGGCTGGGCCTGGGGGCAGAAGCCACCCCGACGGTGGCGGGGCGTCGAGGAGGCCCGGGAGGGGGCTCGGAAGCGCCGCAGGACTCCGGGTAGTCCTCTGTGCGGCTGGAGCCGGAAGGTCCCGTGGCCTTTGGGGTGAGACTGTGGCCTGCTGTGAATTGGAGGCATACTTTGGACTGCGGTTCTGCTGAGAGCACTGCTCTCGGAAATGCTTGTCTGCTCTCTGTTCCTTTTTATTTTTTTTATTTTAGCCTTCCGTTGTGGGAGTGTAACTGCTTGTGTTGTCGGTTCAAAATAGATCCAGGAATAATCTATGCAAAAAGTAGTTTTAGACCTGTTTGAATCATGTCCGTGCCTGTAAGCTTAAGGCTGTGTAGTGCTTATACTGACCAAGCTGGGAGAGATCTCACTGCGGCCTTCCAGTAGTTGATGGGAGCTTATAAACAGGAGGGGAACTGATTTTTTGCATGGTCTGATAGAGATAAGGTAAAGGGGGATGGTTTTAAACCAAAAAAAAGGGGAGATTTAAGTTAGATATTAGGATGAACTCCTTACTCAGAGGGTTTCCAGGCTCTGGCACAAGCTGCCCGGAGAAGCTGTGGTGCCCATCCCTGGAGGTGCTCAAGGCCAGGTTGGATGGAGCCCAGGACAGCTCTGCCCATGGAATTGGGATTGGAGCTGGATGGACTTTATGGTTCCTTCCAACCTGAGCCCTTCTGTGAAACTGCAGGGCTCAGAGTAAGCAGGAGAGCGAAGCCAATGTTCATTCTGAGGGTGGTTTTCATCCAGCTATCAAACTATAGCCCCATAGATATAGCTTGTGCCTCATCTATGGTTACAGCTATGCCTTGTTTCATACAACTTTCATATAAATTATTTTCTGTTTGATACTGGTGTTTTTCATTGCAGTAGCAGGCTAAGAGACTTTTTAATTTAATCAAGTTCCAGAGCTGAGAGTCTGATACTCAAGTGATGGTTTTCTGAGTTTTTGTTTTAAAAGAGAAACACCAGAAATAGCCAGTATATGATGTAGGCCTTTGTTTTTGTATTTCAGAGGAGCAAGGCTCAAAGATGCCCTGTTAGGAGACTTACCATTAAACAGAGGCAGTCTTTACCATTTAGAACACAGAACCATAGCATCATAGAATATCCTGAGTTAGAAGTGTTACACAAGAATCATCAAGTCCAACTCTTGTTTGAATATAGTGTCGCTTGTATCATAGTTCTGCTTTTTTTGTACTGCATCCAGGAATCATTGGGCTGTTCTTGTGGTAATTAAATCACTAAAGTAACAGAAATTATTGTCTAGAATTTGTTTTTGTTGTGCTGAATTTGAATGGTTTGTAGAGGACAGCATAAGGGCAGCAGTGAGGAAAGACTAAGTTCTGTTTCAAAGAAACAGGTATTTGCTCTGTTTTCAACCCTTGTCACAAAGGATCCTTAGTCTTATTTGTCAGGTGATTGTTTTGAAATAAATTACTCTTAATTTCAGATGGATCCGATGAGATGATCTTCCAAAAAAGCAAGACAAAACAATAGAAGAAGTTTTGCTCCTCCTTCTCTGGTGGCTTCAGTTTATCGGCTTGGTTTTGACTGAGACACATCAGAGTGTCTGGTTACCGTTGAGAGTACGTGCACAGCAGTGTCTAGTGAGAATCCTGTGATGAGGTTGAACATCTTCACCTTGCTGCATGATGTTAGCACAGTCATCATGGGCATGCTATCTGTGCCTTGGGAAATAAACTGGCAGAAGGTAGCAAAATGCATATGGGGCTGTGGAAGTTCTAGGTAGCGTTAGTCAACTCTGGCTTTTTTAAGCATACATGCCTTAGTCATTGAATTGTCATTTTTAATTGTCCCGAAGAAGTACGGATGTTCCAAGGAACGAAATGTAATGATAAGCACTCAAGAGCAAAGGAGTAACAGTAATATCAATGAATCCACAGGCCTGTGTGGTGTCTTAGATTACAACCAGATGCATTTGAAATTAGCTCAGCAAACAAATAAAAATCCATCTCTAAATTGTCCTTAACTTCTGTGATAATTTAGGTACATTTCCTGTCCCCCCATATGCACGCTGGAGAGATGGTTAGAATTTCTCACTTGCGTATCAAGTACCTAAAGCCTTCAAGAGAAGCTTACTAAATAATGAGTCTTTGAAACTAACTCCTGACACTGGGTCAGAAGGGAAAGGGTGCTGCTTTTATTGCTTTGTAATTATTTTCTTCCAGTAGTGACTCTGATGCCAGTAGGATTTGATGAAGGCAACTGACAGCAAATCTTCAATAACATCAACTGTTTTGGGTAGACATCAAAGAGCAGAAATGCTGGCCACCAAAAGGTGGTCAGAGCAGCAGCTTAAAATCTCTTTGATCACACAGAACACTCACACAGCACTCATTCAAATTATTTACCTGTGTTACAGAAAGCGATAGACCTTGCTAGTAAGGCAGCACAAGAAGATAAAGCAGGAAACTATGAAGAAGCCTTCCGTTTGTACCAGCATGCTGTGCAGTATTTTATCCACGTCGTTAAATGTAAGTGTAATGCATTGGGTTATGAAGTCAAGTTTTATATTGCCTGGAGTAGCCTCCTCTATTGGAATCAGTGTTTAACTTCTGACTGTCCTTGTCAGTTGACACTTGCTCTCTGTAGTTTGGCTGAGGTGGTATATTATGCAATGTATATACCAAATATAACATACCAAAGGTGGTATATTATGCAACTTTTGTCCTCAGTATACAGCATGCCTGCTCCCTTCTTGTAAGAACTCTTAGTAGCATCCACAGGTTGTTTTTTGCTCACTAAATCATGCCTTTTACTTTCCTATCGTTTTCCTACTGGTGTTTTTACTAATTTATATCAGTCACGCTAATCAACTTGGCCAGCAAAATGTATGAGGTGGACTTGTATTCTCTCGTTTTTCTTTAGTTTTCATTCCCTTGTAATTATTTTATGCCTTTGTTTTCACATTTCTGTGTGCCTTTTGCCTCGTGTCCAGTGTTTGTATACAAAAAATGCATTTCCTTTACATTAAGGAATTAGGTAACAGGCCTAACTTGAGTGGACTAGGGTCGCTGGCCTGACATGAGTGCACTCACAGAAGTCCTATGACTTGGAAAACAAGACAAAGAGCACTGTTTCCTTTACAGTTACTTGGGGATTGATAAACATAAATTATATTGTCCGTTTTTCTTTTGGATTTTGTCAGGGAATGACTTCCTGTGCTTTTAGTAGTACTGATGTATTTTTGGGAAATTAGCACATGAGCTTCGTATTTTCAAGCTTGGTTGCTGATTTGAAATACTGCAGTAGTAACTAACAGAACTGTGGCTGTTAAACCATTCCTTGTTTTTTCAGATGTTTAAGACACTGTATAGCAGTTTGAGAGACTGACAGAAAAAGCTTCCAGTGTCATTGTCCTTACTCCTGTTCAGTCAAGTTTTTAAGGCAAAGCAATGTTGAGGTGTATATTTGATTTGTAAGTGATTATTTACCTTTGATTTGTAGGCATTAACTTCTTTCCTGTCACTTCTTTCCATGGCATAGGGGAAAAATAAATAAATTAAACATTTGGATATGTGGTAAGCCCCAAAAGAGGTATCTTGATAAGACATAAGGATATTTTCTGAATGATGCATGTGTATTTTGCTGTTAACAAAGCATTGTTTCTCTTCAAACTCTTAGATGAAGCACAGGGTGATAAAGCAAAACAGAGCATTAGAGTGAAGTGTGCAGAATACTTGGACAGAGCAGAAAAACTGAAAGAATATCTGAAAAAGAGAGAAAAAACTGCGCCAAAGCCAGTTAAAGAGTCTGGTCCTTCTGATGGAAAAGGGTATGTTTTGGGAGAAGGTAAAGCAAAATACTTCCTGAACTCAGCTTATTCTAAGATTCAGCTCTTCAGAGATCGTTTCAAATAGTGTTTTTCAAGTGCTTCACCTCAGATAACTGCTAATGCTGAAGTACAGTGTGCTTAAAAAGGAAAAATAATGTGAATTAATATCACAGGCTTTTTTGTGGTTGTTTGATACATCTTTGAATGCTTTCATAGGAAATTCACTGAAGAATGAAAGCTGTTTCACACTAATACTTGCTTTTTGGGTTCAATGACAGTGAGCCTAGTGAATTCTTCTGCATGTGAATACTTAATAGCTAGAAAATAAATTCAGATTTGGTGATGATTACTGTGGTTTAAGTTTTATTTGCCTCACATTTGATAAGAGGTAACAAGGTTCTGTCACAGGCTGATGTTCCGATGGTCTGAATCGCTCTATTACCTTGCTCCTGCCTATCCACTGCTTTCCTTTTATTAGATCTGTTTTTCGTTTTGCACATCTGAGAGCTGAATCAGCCCACCTGAACAAGCAAAGCCTCTTTTGTATTTGCTGAGGTAAAAGAAGTGTTTCACAGTGGTGTCTCTGAGTGAGATTGACTTTTTTGGTAGTCTTGAACAGCTAGAACTGCTCAGTCATCTCTTGAAATTTCACCTGATTTTCAGTGTCTTTCATTGTCTGCTCATTTCATGACTTATTTTTTGAGCTGTACTGCGTTCTGCTGGTTTATAGTAGAAGGAAGCGTGAGGCTACGTCTCCATTCCATTTGTTCCTTATCTCGTCTACTTTTTTCTACTTCTAACTTCCAGTTTGCTTTACTTTGACAAGACTAGAGAGTTTCATAGTACTAAATGAAATTGACCAAGTCCAGTTGCAATTCTGGACAAGGAGTAAGTGCCGGCATCTACAGTGAAACCATTTTGCTGCTTTTGTTTCCTAGAGGCTGAGTCAACACGTATAGAAGCGAGTTAAGAGGGAGGGCTCAGGTCTGCAAGGAAGTTGAAATGGTTGGAGTGGGGGAAATTAGTGTAGAAAAACAAGACTACAGTGATGTAAACTTGTAGAGAGCTGAAAGAATCTCAAATTGTAAGGTTTTTCATTTCTTAGAGTGATGTCTTCTCTACTTGCTTTCTGATTCGTAACCTAAGACAGCGTCTCTCTGTGTATTTCAACGTTTTATTTCTTGTTTCCATATCAGGAATGACAGTGATGGGGAAGGAGAGTCAGAGGATCCTGAGAAAAAGAAACTACAGAATCAACTTCAAGGTAACTTTGAAGCCTCCATTTATATAAATAGAGGTGGCTTTGGTCAGGTGAATTTCTAGTTGTTTGGTTTTGTTGTTGGTTTTGGGTTTTTTGCCAGTTAACTCGTTAACTTTAAGTGGTTCAACTAGTATATACTCTTTACGTCCAGAAGTACAGTCTTAATGACAGTATGGGTTTGCATGCCATGAAATTCAGTGATGAATATGTTGAAATTGTATTATTTATCAAGAAAACACTTTCCAAAGGGAATAGTTGCAGGATCTCAGATATTTTGTTAGACTGTGCCAGTTTTACTCTTAGGTGCGTTGCCATATTAATGCGTAGAGGCCAGAGTAACAGATGCCATCCAAGTACGTAGAATAAGCAGGACCATTTTCACAGGCTCGAACTCAAGTAGATAAGGTGGGAAGATGGATTCTTGTTGGTTCATAGCAACCGTCCGGATTTCCTCATATTGCTGTGATGAGGCATGTTACTCAGTTGAATAACATAATTGTTTTTGAAATAACATGCTGTACACATTCAGTGATGCAATATATAGCAGCTAGTAGTAGTTTTTTATGCAGTAAAGAAGTGGCTTAGCTTGGTATTTATTACTCCTTGATGGTAAGAAATTGGTGACAGCTTCCCTGCCACATGATGTGTATTGATATGAAGAAACTTCATTCTCCTGCTTATTTTCACTGACAGAAATCAAATGCATTTGTCTGATCTCTCAGCTTCTGTCATCACAGGATCTGCTGTACACATTTGTAAACTGTGCCATAGTTCTGCTTCTCTGCACACTTACTCAATTCTGTGTGTGGTCCTGTGGGACAATTTCCTATATTGTAAAATCATTAAGCATTGGACTCTTAGCCTGTGCTTCGCTATAACCGTTTTGTTTCTTCTCAAATTAATCTGACCTTCAGTTCATCAACAAACAGTGTCTTGCACCTGGCACTTCTTGAAGTGTTTCCTATAAACTATAAGGTTCTTGCTTTCAACGTCTGAGATGTGAGATCTCTGGTGTCTTTAAACTTAACATAGGAGTCTCCTATTCAGCGTAAGCTCTGGGCAGCTTTCACTTAATTCATCTGCATTTTAATTCCTGTGACACCTACAGATATGCCCTGTATTCAGTTTTACTGCTTTGTTACTCTTAGCTGACTTGGTCTTAAGGAGCCTTCCACATCTATGGTTACTTATCAACATTTTGATTATAACAGCAACTTGACTCATTGTGGGAGTAGTGGCCACTAAAATTCAAACTGGAACATAGTTGTGGGTTTATTGTCATGAACTCTCAGAATTTTAAAGACCTTTTGCATTCTGTTGCTTAGTCTTCCAGCTGTTAGTTTACACCTACAAAACAAGGAAGCCACGATGTCCCATTCCGTTTGTTTCCTGGTATGGTAATGTCTTGCAGTGTGCTGATTTCAGTTACAGCATGTCAGGTCCAGATAACTGATAACTTGGAACTAATCTCTTGTTCCTACCTGTTCTACTGTTTAATTTAGTGATGGAATCTGGTTACAATCTTAAAGAAAAACTGAGTTTAATCAACCTAGCAGAAGTATTTAGAGCATTAAAAGTGAGCGGCTGGATTCCTGTATATGGATTGCAAGCAAAAAATATTCCTTTCAATCTGATGAGGAAGGCATGCAGGTAAAGTAAAAATCTCTAAGGACGTGGATGAAAAGTGAGCAAATGTCATTTGATTTATTTGTTAGCCATGAGTAGTAGTACACTTTCCATTGTAGAAAACAGACATCAACCAATTCACAGAGCTCTGAAAGCATAAGGGGAAAGTGACAAGAAAATAGCTAGCAGAAACTGGTTGTGAACTTACAGAAAAACCTTTGTAGACAAAAATGGCAACTGAAATGATAAGAGTGCTTGATTACATAAAGATAAGGTAGTTAGGAATAGTTCATTTCGGAAGAGTTCCAATCAGTCATGAGTCGTTCCTAGCCACGTGCTCTTCTTCCAATTAGATTGGCATCGTGTGGCGATCACACAGCTCGCTTGACTTCTGTCTCACTTGGAGGCACTCTCTGTCCTTAGCATTTCTTTCCCATGCTGTTTATTTTGTTCTGCAGCTTGTGCTCTAATTATTCTCCCTTGAATCCCCGCATTTCCTCTGCAAGCAGCAGGCTGAGAGGTCGATGTTGTCCTCCCAGCCCGCCGGAGCCGCGCTCTGACGGCAGTGCGGTGCCGGCCTAGCGCCGCCGCCGGGGCCGCCTCTTGCGGGGCGGGGGCGAGTCCTGGCGGCTGCTGCTGGCCTTCCTCTTCGGGGGGCGCCGGGGCCCCCCACGCGAGCGGTCCCTGCCCCGGGCGGAGGGGCCCGCTGCCGCCGCCTGCCCTGGCTCCTCCTGCGGCTCCTGCGCCGAGGGCGCGGTGGCGGTGCTGGGGTGCCCGGGTCCCCCAGTAGAGCCGCCGGGCGGCTCCACGGTGCTGGGCCCTGCGGGGCTGGTGGAGCGACCTGGGCCCAAGGTGGGAAGCTCCTGATGGGAGGTGCTGGTGATGGGGCTGGCTGCA